AGTCTTACGGCTACATATTTTGGTAAAGTATCTTGTACAGTTTGAAAAGTTTTCTATGATGTATCAGCCACGTCATATGATTTCATCCAAATGAAATTTATAACAAATCTTACTACTAACAGGTTGAATATTAACCTTAGTTTCTAGTACATTTGTATAATGTTTAATGGAATGCATATGGTTTTCAGGTATTCAACATCTCAAACAAATTGTATTTTGCCAATGTGAAAAACCAGCCATCACATTGCTGCGTTTACAGCTCTGGCCAGGAAGCCCTGAAAAGCCATCGTGTGCATTCCACCTTAGTCTGATGGATCTTTTCGACCGACTATTTATTCATTGTAAAGTTTCGTTAAAGGAAGCAACAGAAGTATTCCAACTGTTTCTTCCAGCATTTTATCCMAACCTAGTAAGTAATTAACATATAAGTCAAAGTGTTGATGAAGCAAAATAGTAATAATCATAATATACAAGGCATGTAGTTTTTATGCTATCACTTGATGACACCTTTCAAAATCATTATTTCCTACAAGTTATTATATTATAATTGTGTTCTTTTAGTCTGATATTAATTGTTAGATTGGTATCASCACAAGCATTTTACATTTAACTTCATTTCTGTTTTTTTTTTTTAATGAAAAATTTAATCAGTAATGCTAAATGTTCTCCTTTCTTTCAGCTTCCATCATTTTATGCTGTAATGAATTCTGGCTGTTTTGACGAATACAGGTAAGATATATTGATTAACTTAATATTTGGTCTTCCCGTACATATATTTTGTAATGGCATTATTTTTTAAGGTATTTCAAGTACCAAAGTACCTATCTCACTCAACAGTTTCCTGATCTATACAATGGTGCCAGTTGTCCATTATGTCCAAAGGTATAGTGCTCAGAATTATTAAAAAGAATAAAGGCTGTGAATCAGTCTGAGAATAATTTGTGAATTAGTCTATATTTCTATTACTGAGTAACTAGATTAAACAGTTCACTTGCACATTTTATGATTGACTTCAGGAGGAAGGAGTTCTGGTTCAATGTATGGATGCCTGTTTTGGACTAAACAGGAAAAAAACCCAAGGGCAGCAACTGACTGACCCAAATTGTGTTGTTCGATGGCTAAATGGTCAAKAGAATAGACTGGATTAAGATTGGCACTGAACTCTTTAATCCGCCATGTTTGATAACACACTTCGAGCCCATTACATGTAAACGAGGCCTAAAACAGGGAACCCGAACACTACACAAATCATACCAATGTTTATTTTGCTGATCAAGATGATGTGGATAATTTTGTTGCACAATACCATGAAGATTGTCAAAATACTGAGCCGGTATAGTAATTTGTTAATCTGACAGATTAACAGGTTCATACTTAACATATATGTGTTTAGTGAAACAGCAAAGTTAATATTTGATGAATAGATTATATTTTATGTTTTGTCATTTAGGTAGTTTCAGTTCAATAATCTAATGTATGTTTAACTCTGGTTTAAGGAATGTAGCAGGTTTCATGCCGGGGAAGTGTTGCCAGCATTGCGTTCCAAAGGAAAGAACAAATTGTTTGATGAAAAAGGAGTTTTTGGATCTGTTTGTCGCCATGACTTTCCACTATCTTTTCATAATATCAAACATGGTGAAAGGTATTATGATCGACTTATTGATGAAATTATATTTAAAAATAAAATAAAACTTTTATCATATGCAGGTAATGTGATGTTTAAATTGTACTATAATATATTTTACGTATAATCAATTTACACCATAAACACAAAAATTCTGCTYCCAAATATATATGCTGGACATATACACCAATGAAACTACAAAAAAGCTGCTCCCTGATGTGTATATTATTGGACATATACATTATATCTTTTGTTAAAGCCTTCGTTTTACTGTCCCACAGGAGAAAATGCAAAGGATATATCCCTTACAAAAAGGTTTACATGTATATTATTAGGGAGCAGAAGTTTTGTGTTTTAGTGTATATATGCAGTAAAATATGTACAAGTTAGTACAGGATTTTGTGTTTAAAAGTATAACATCTATGCTATCAACTGATTTGGAGCTCACATTTTTCTTATTCTAAATGATACACTGTATTCTATTTTTTGTAGAATTTCCTACTCAGTGTATGAGCTCAAGCAGACTTGCCAGCTTCTAAACAAAAAACCACTTATCAAGGTTGTCATCATGTATGATATTGCTTGTATTTTGTCAACGCATTTGAAGGTAAAAAGGTGTTGTTACAATTATTTTTTTCATGGATATAATGAATGCAGCCCTATATCTATCAAATAATAGAATATTGTTTTAAGGTACATGAGTAATATTGATGATTAATTTTTATTTTGTATTCTTATATGTTAAGAAAAATGCAATAAAGTTTCCCAATGAGTGGCCATTACTGGAAAAATTCACCTTTGCAATTCCTATATTCCATTGTTATGGACATAAAGCATCATGCCAGGTACATACTTCATGTCAGTATAATCATACATCTACTTGTTTCTTTAATGTCACTTCTCTTTTAAACACTTAAAAGTCTGCTACAGTGTACAAATGCAACATTCCTTTCAGCTACACTATTAAACTATGTTTGATTTGGGTTAGATAGTCCAATTATGAGCTGATGACTGTTTTTTTATATAGATTAAGTATTCTCCCAGAAGGACAGAAGGCGTTGGACTTACTGATGGTGAGGGGACAGAGAGGCTATGGTCATTTTTAAGGGACTTCTCKAGGATAACTAAAGAGATGTCTCCTGAAAAAAGAATCGATACCCTGACTGATGGTCTCCTCCATTATGGCTGTCTTCTTAGGAAGAAATATGGTAAGTTTATCACTAATTACAGTTGAATTATTGAATGTAAAATGAAAAGGTAATGCAAATTGCAAACTTGCATAGACTTGTTCTATCTTTCTGCAACTATAGACATCCACAATGTAAAATCTAGCTAAGTTCCAGCTGACTACATTGTTCAATATTTTATAATTTGAGTATCACCATTGCATCATTCAAAAATAATTGATAATATCAGTATTTTAGGGTGTTTTCAATATTGTGCCAATTCCACCATTCTAGCATAGCCTGTGTACATCCATTCCCATCCCTCTGATCGGTGGAAACAATTGACAACAGACTATTCTCACTTTGTAGTACTAGAATATGAAATACAGTAGGACATTCATTTTCATGTTTTATATTAATTTTAGGTCCAGCTTTAAATCACAAACTTCTAAGAGCAATGGATTTACATCAGATATTATCAGATGACCTTGATAAAGCTATGAAATCTTTTCCAAGTAAGAGTCAAGGATTGTAAACAACTGTTTACAACAACTTTATTAGAAATCATAAGAAATAGGGAAATGGGTTAACATTGCACATGTAAATGTACTTTGGTTGTTTTTTTCTAATACTAGTTGTTTTATCATTTTATAGTAAAGTGTGATGAAACTGTCATTGAAGAGTGGATTTCTTCAGAGAAAGTACAGGACAACTCAAAAAGTAACTAAGCATAATAAAACTTCAACAAGATTTTTATTCTGTTTTGTCAAGAGACAACAATGTCTATCAGAAAACTCAATGTGGATTAAATTTTGTACAGTGTAAATTTATGACAATGTGTAATATTTTAATCTAAGCCTAATTTATTCTTTATTATTGTTTACTCCATTCTACGTAGAATTTGAGCTTCTTTGGGATGAAAAATATGTTGACTTGCTGTCACAGAATGTGTCATTGAGGTATTGGCTATTCACTGACTCCCATGCATGATGTATGTTTAAAAGATGCAAAGAAAATTGCACCACACTATGTGACAACCTACATATAGTGCATATAGTGTTTAATATTCACTATCCCTGATTAGTCACATTTATTGAAGTTTAATGCCACTGAACCAAAAGAAATCCTAAATCAAAAACGGTTACAATTCGGAAAATCTGAAGTGTGTAACATTTAACTGTGTTTACCTTATTAATACATGTGTTTGGTATGTTTTGATGGATAAAGAAACAATCATTAAAATTTATTATATATAAGCTTTGTATAATTTATATTTCTAGGGGTGGAGATCAGCAAGTTTCTAGAACAGAAGAGAATGAATCATTGAAAAAGAAAAGGGAAAGGTATTATTTACACGTGAAAGGAAAGTAAGAGCGTTTATAGCAAAAGAACATTGGTTCAATATTTTTGAGAGACATAATGGTTATTGCAAGTCCTTAGTCCTTTGCAAATAATGACAACGTTAGGCATTTTGTAAATGATATCTTGGAGGAGATTAGGAGGGGAAAATCTAACTCTACCCAATTCTGAAAAATGTCACAATTAGAAAGCTCCGTATTTTTGTTATTCAAGGCCGTTTGCTCTTCCTTTAGAATAGAGAAGTCACTGGCAGCTCTTGAGAAGAAACATGGTATTAGAAAGCGATGGAGTGTAAATGGCGAAGCTTTTTCCAGTTCAAGAAAACGACTTTTGAAAAAGCAAGAAGAGAAACTTCTCAGTGGTCTACACAGACTGGCAGYAGAGAGGACATTCCTACTTGAAATGAAAAGAAAATATGCAGGTTTGAACATCTTTTCAACATCTTGCCCAATGTATGCCACTTCCAAAAATGCATTCTTATATGTGCTTATCTCTTTTTTGCGACTACTTTATCTAGATGGACAGATGATTGCCATTAAACTGTCAGGCCAGATTGACAAGGTGGTTAAAAGTATGAACAAGGGATTGGATGAGGTAAATGTGTTAAGAAGAAGTAGTGCTTCCATCAATTTGCTGACYTTTGATGACATCAAAGAGCCTACTGGTACCCTATACAGTTCCTTTGAAGATCAGGTTTCAGCTGTTCCAGAATCAAAGAAGAGGCCTCTTATAGAGTTATTCTTGCTTTGCAAACGATGCAAGGAGGAAGCAAATTTGGTAAAAGAAGAAATGCGTCGGCTTGAAGAATTTTACTCAAGGGAAATCCAAACCYTGAGTGATTTACATCTTCAGCAAGATGATAGTATAACGGGGAAGGRTTTTAGTTGTCTTCTTCAAAGACGAAKGGCTATATTATRTAATGAAATCCTCGCACTTGCAAGCCATTGGAAGGGGTGTTACACATTCCAATGTTTAGATTTAGGGAAAATATTGAAATCATCTGTAAAATATGAAGGCAGTGAACCTTGTACAGTCAGCGAGGAAGTAACAGAAGATGAGCCTTACTCATTTGATAAACCTCAAGATGATCCTTGCAATGGAGACGACGAGAACAGTAATGAATAATTAATATTTATAATGACCATATCTGCATGGTGAGTGCGCAAGCACGAAACTCAGAGTTGCAGGGAACCACGTTCCTTTTTATCTAATCACTATACCGCTCTACACATGTGAATCGAGCACTTTTCAACGTGTGTTGCTAATAGCTATTATTTATAATGAACAATTTTCTTTTAACAATGTCCAGAATGCAAGTGTCACAAAACTGAAGACGTTCCCGTAATAATACATTGCATTAAATAGTATAGTTATAATAAAGAATTAGAATGGTTTTCTTTGGATTGTCAAAAAATACTTGTGTGTTTACAGAATTAAGTATCGAAGAAGTATATAGTGTAGTTTTCATAAACCCGTAAAACAACGTGTAGCATATAAAGGGTAATACTCCTGGATTAGCGTACAGGAAGACGCACAAAATAAAGAGCAATACCTTAAAGTTTATGTCACGGGCTTTTGCAAACGACTCAGTACTTTATTCTGTAACAAAAGAAAACGTTTTCAGGGAGTGGTTTTCATAAACAGGTGAAACAATTCATAATAGAGTCGTTTTCATTTCACCGTGCACAATTAGTGACACTACTAGTTAGTATCACACTCTAAATCTAGACTATTGTTTTCTTTCGATCTTTATCAACAAGTACTAACTAAATAGTCGTCATTTAACGGTGAAATGAAAACGACTCTACAACGCAAAGACTAAACAAAGAAAGACTAGTAAGAACAATAAAAGAAATAAAGTGTGATATGCTTAAATCAATGCATTTTGTTTAAAAAAAATCAACTCTATAGGGTTCAGCTGATTGACTTCAAATTACTGGCTGAATACATGACTGGAAGATTGATTATTCGAATGTATGATCAAAAGGATGATTCAATTATATCAAGGCGTGTCGCAAAGATAATGTCGTCATACCTGGAACGAAAGGGATTTTGGGTACGAGAATGCGAGTACATTTCACCTAAACTTGTCTTTGCTGTAGTGCTTCATAATATCTACCAGTATTTCTTAGCAAGCTACCCCTTTTGGCTGGTCTATGACAAGAACAGGGGGGCTAGAGAGGTGCTCTGTAGTTCATGGGACACCCCCTCCCTCCCCCTGGTATTCAGTGTGTAATTCATGTCGAAAAGATAAATGAAAACTGCGTATAGTTTATAATRCTGTACATATAGAAAGTAATGAAAACAACCTCAAAAAGCATAAGTTTATCAGGTGTATCAATTCTCGCATCAAACACCTTGTCGGCAAATCAGTTCCCGGCAAAAGTATGGCACAGCCCCCGATCCCCTTTCTAGCTCCCAGCGTACGATTTTTGGATACGCCCCTGGTAATAATTCTTATTAATTGACTATAACCTAGTCACTATCATCGAACTAGAGCAGTCCTAGTAACATTTCGTGCTGTGCACCTAACGAAATGAAATGAAACGGACAAAAAATCAGAATAACTGTTCACATGATTTTTCAGTTTTCGTAACTGATCATTGCCCCAACCTGCCTGGCAATTTGTACCAGTGSTCGTTCCCATCACTCGAACCACAATTATTTTGTTATTAAGTCTTTGCGGATTGGTTTGTCTCAATGCGTCCAAACAATATCAAATACTATCAACAAGATCCGGTGGTGTTGGGGATGAGGAACTCCCCTTATTTGCTATACGGGTATGTGCCGCAGGATAGGGTCCCTTTTTCGGAGCTCCAATTGCACTATTTCATTATGATGTCACAGTATGTTTACATCGGAAAACGACGCTCAAAAACACTGGAAATTTKGACCCATTTACGTTGTGTACTAAAGTAGAACTTCAATGAATCGTGTTTTGATATATATCAGGTATAAATGATTGTTCGTATAYATTTTATTTGAAATGTAGTGGCTCTGATCCCTTCTGGCGACCACAATCCTTAGCGTTAAAACAATAGAATGTTTTGATGTGACGTCATAATGAACTAGGGCAATTCAGGGAAAGGGTATCATTTTTCGCCCATTTGTCTGTGATGGTAGTAGTTTGGTCCGGGATACAGTAGTTTTTTGTCTAGAATAGGGTATAGTCTCATTGTCTGGGATAGGGTGCATACCCACCCACCGCGCAGGCTCAATTGTTGCTGATATATACCTTGATATAAAGTCGTGCAATCACGTTAAATCAATATAAGTGATTCAGACAAGTCGAGGTTATATAAGACTACGTGAGTTCAAGTTTCTTTTCTCATAACAAACGGTGGGGTCCATGTTTCTATGAGAAATACCGCTGACCATTAYTTTTTCAACTTTTGCGCATGCGCRTAGATCTCCACCAAATGTTACAAACATGTTTGTCTATTCAAGATACGACCATCCTGAAAGTTTGGTGTAAATCGACCCAATATCACGGAAGTTAGACATGATCCCATATTCCAAAAAAATRAGTAAATTTGAAATTCAGGTGTACCTACAGTTGTTAGCACGGACCAGCATCTACAGAAAGACAAATTACCATATCTTTTGCGCATGTCAACCGATCTTATTAAAACTTTTCACACAAGTTCTTCCACATATGGGAAATGTCTTATGGAAGTTTCGCTGATATTCATTAAATACTAGTGGAGATACGTGGATGCAAATTTTCAAAAAAGACGTGCTAATTTTGTTACAAGTACTATAACAAAATTAGCAACACTTTTGGTAATTTTCATCACCACATGCCTCCGGCCACTTTTTTTGTTTTTCACCTCTCTGTGGAACATGTAACAGTTCAAGTAAGTAAATGGGCTTTCAAGAATAAGCCCATTGTGTAAAAACCATTGTTGTATTTGTTGTGCTACCGTTATTTCATAACTACTGGTATGCTGTTACAACATGCATTAGCATTTGAACTATGCAATAATTTTCTGCCTTTTTCGATGACGAAAGATCTAGATAAATTTAATGATGGCATGCAAAGACAGTTCACAGATAGAGGAACAAACATTGGAATCCCAATTTTATATGACGTCTTTATTTTAGTCTCCACACAGCAGTCGTGTTTAGTTTCTGTTACGTGGCACACAAAACTTAACACGGCTGCGAGGAAACTATATTTATATGTAATTTTATTAAATCTTTACAAATAGTACTAATTACTACTAAATTGTGTTGATTATACAATAGGAAACAAAGGAATTTGTATAATTTATCTCCTATTTTGTAGTATTTATATTTCACGCATTTAGTGCGGGTACTCTATCTATACATTAACATTTTACTATATAATTCAATAGAAGTACACGACCTGCATTTGGGGTAAACATATCGTGGAAACGCTTATTGCCATGTGCTGCAACTTGATTTGCAAAGTCCACAATGACAAAATTTGGTTGATAGGCAAGGCTCTTAATGAGATCAACATGATCACAGCAAGATTTATACTCTCGGTGCAGGACGCAATCTTATTGTCGTAAAAAAATTAATAAGAAATCATATTTTCTCAAGTTATATATATYAGGTATTAAAGGTATTAGCATATAAACTATGCTATCACAGAAATGTTTAAAAAGTCAATGAATAGAATGCAAATTTTGTGATGTTTTCATTTCATTTCAAATTCAATGGAGCCTGACGTCAGGCTCCATTTCGTATTGACCGAGAGGAAATGAGTACTAATTTGAGCATAAGCTCATGCAAAAATATCTTGTTCCTTTTTTACCGAATTCTTCGTGTATACACTAAGTAGATGGTGAGATGGCGAGAAAAAGCGATTGCCAAATGATCCCATAGTAAGCAGGACAAATGATTTTTAAATCAGTTAAAACTGATTTTGTAATTACAATACTGACATGATGCATCCTTTAAAAGTCACAACAAACGATGAACCCGTGCCATGCGAGGAGTCACTGATGATTGGAATGAAATGGCTTTGCAAAGAAGCAAGCTACCGGCGACTTTGCACATGCATGAAGAATGCATTTCCTGGTTGCAAAAGGGTTAGACAATTATAGTGTCTACTTATACGATGCCAATCTCGTAAAGATAACACCAGTACTGTAGATTAAGCAGTGCAGTAAAGCATGCAGTCAAGCAGGTAAGCTAGTATAATCAAGTGTAAAACCATAATGGAGCAATAAATGATAATATACACCTGGCCAAAAACAGTTCAGCCTAAGTTCTATATAATGTCTTTTGTTCTTGAGAGTATGAATATTTTAAGTTTTTTTGCTCAAGTTTCTGTGCATTTGTATGAAATTTTCTTATTATGAAAATTCAGTTAGTACCTATATAACTATGGAAAATTATATTATTTTTGTGCAGTCATGGTTAATGGAGGGGATTAAGTATGGTGCAGTGCATCTTCAGCATATATCTACATCAAAGCTGTCATACCTTCACAACATAAATTAACACATATTTTTACCATGGATACTCTATAAAAATGGACTTTGTCTTACCTATGCTAATCAGAACTTTTATTTAAGAAGAAATTATTAGTAATCAGAGCAGGTTTAATGCTAGAGAGTGTTCATGGAGAATATATAAAAATAAGTGTCCTTTTTGAAGTTAACAAAAAGCATGCCAAACCCTTAAAATAAATCATAGCGTAATATCAAAATATTAATTTTCATCCTTTCTTTTCAGTGATTCCACAGATATTCAGAATCGGCGATTTAAAAAAGAAATATATATTTTTAAGTATTATGGAGAATCAAAGAAACTCGATTGCTGTGTTTATTGGCAGAATTATTAGGGCATAACTGCCGCTAATCCACAATAATTTCCCTTTAACCTGCAACGTTCAAAGAGATGCCTTGTTTCTTATAAACATCATCCAAGCCTCATGGTTTGCCAGTGCTTTTAGATGTTTGCACACAAGAGAAGCCCTTTATTTTACTATTCTATATAGATTTTATGGGAATGTAAAAACAAAAAACAGATGTAGACTGTGGAAACAATGCTATCACGTATGGAAGGCAAATTTCTCTCGATGTGTACATGGGTGAAACTTATCATACTTATTTCAAAGGCTTTGGCACATGGGTCAGTGTTGATGCCAATCATATTGTTATCTATTATTCCAMAAAAGACAAAAACTCCACAATACTCCCATACCGCATTAAATTTGTTGGAATTGGGAATCACAAAGAACTAGCAAATATACACATTCAAACAGTAAGTTGCTTATAATACTRCAAGAAGAGATCTCGTCTCTTATGGTACATTAATCCWGCGGATTTATTCAAGAGCTGATAAATACCRCATTCTCTTGGCAAACATTAAGGATGCAATAAATGATACTAAATCTGCAACACACCCATCAGCAGGTGAAATAGGAAGCAAGGTCTCCGAAATATTTAAATCTGGTTATTTTTACTAATCATTGTTTCATATTATATGCAAGCTATATTATAATACATGTAAACACTGTTTTAGCATATGTAAACCCAACTAATACAAGASTACTCTTTCATTGTATTCCAAGGCATTAATACAGCCATATATGATTTATGATTTAGACTGGATTTGCATGCATGCATTTGATCTAAATTAAATAGAAATTAAGAGAAATAAGAGTTAAAAAGAAATTAAGAGTTGTCACTACACATTTATTGGTACATTTCACTGCCCTGCAGTCATTGATGAACACATTGAGCCAAAACTCTTTGATAATACGACYCTTTGGTCTAACAGATTTTCAAAAGCTTTTTATTGTTCAAGACTGCAGTAACAAACTTGGATTTAAACCATAAGTTAGAAAACTTGGATTTAAACCATAAGTTAGAACTACTTATTATTCAATCTCTACCTCCTTAACTGAGATAGTTCTAACTGGTTCTTTATTGCACAAACAAAACAATGCAATGTAATGTAATGTTATGCAATGCAATGCAATTTTCCTTGTAGAGTGAAGTCATAAAACCCATGAAATAAAGTTTGATATTAAAGTGTAATATTTAGTCAACTAGCTGACATTAAGAAAACAATGCAATTAGAGCAAGCTCATCTACTAGTGATGAGTTTAAAAGGATAATATAATATGATATGATATTAATTATTAAATAAAATATTAATTATTAGAAGTATAATAATAATATATGTATTTAACAGGCTTTTGAACTCCATTGGCTTGTCAATAACAGAATTATGCTTTAAAGCACCTTAAAGCTAATGCAAATGTACAATGAGGTAATTAAAACCATAATAATTAAAATAATAGCTAACTAATTAAGGTCTGACATGGTTTAAGTCCTGACCAATGCATTGGGACATGCAAAAATCAAATGCTTTAGTGTTGGTTATAGACAAATGATGAATTACTTACAGCAATAAATCCTCTAAACAATAATAATGTATGCTAACAAAAGTCTCTAGATGGAAAGCATGTGTTCCTTTCCATAATGGAGAAACATTCTAGATGTGTACAGTAAGTTATGATTTTTGTACCATACATTTACTCCTCATATTTAAACAGCTGTAAATCATTCATTATTGACCTGATTAACAACAAACGTAGACCCCCCCTGTTGTCTCTAGTTATCAAATATCAGTAAGTCATAAATTAAAAGGGATTTACCCTGGTTGCCGATGAATTTCTCAACTGGAACACCACTGACAACTTTCTATTGTTCTGAGCATTCAGACAAAAGGAAGTTAATTAAAACTGTTCCAGCAGAGTGATAGTGCCTAATAGTAACTAAAGTAATGACTATAGAGTGCTCACACTTAAATCGTCAAACAAATAGTACTAATTGCTACTAAACAGTGTTAATTATACAATAGGAAACAAAGTAATTTGTATAATTTATCACCTATTTTGTAGTTATATTTCACGCATTAAGTGTGAGCACTCTATTTGATAATAACTAGTAATTAAAAATAGATTTTAGTTAATAGAAATACTGTAAACACTGATAATTGACAATTTGCTTATAAATTTGTTACATGATTGCATGTCTTGTTTTGAAAAAAAAAATCATGTTAATATCAATTAAATTAAAACCAGTATAAATTAATTACTTTCATTATTGCATTATAAAAACCTCCTGGCATCTCAAATATAGTGTTTTTCCTCAGTGCTAATTTTTGACAGAAATACAAAGGTCCAATTTTTGATTTGACAATATTTAGACCATCAATAGAATCAGGGTGTTTAGTCAGTAGTTTGTACTTGGTGCTTGACTCATCCTTTGCCATGATGTCGAGCCAAAGCCCCTCAACCTTTTCATCATCTGATATTCTAGACAAAGATCTTGGGCTTATGTAACCATAAAAGAGCCAGAACTTTTGTTCTGTTTCATCGCTGAACACAGGAATGACCACCCCCTCCTCCTCACTATGACTCATGTTTCCCTCTATGGCCCTTAATGCATCACCATCAAAGAGGGAAAGAGCAGGACTACTTTGTACTTTTAACCTTTCGTCTTGGTCTAATACTAAATCAACTGCAACATCTTTTTCTCCAATTTTCCTTTCAACATCAGCTGCGGACAGCACCTCACCATCTACCAACTTTAAAAAAACCTTGAAATCCTCTTTAGATATCTGTGGAGGCTGCAAGTTGGTGTCTCCATCAGCTCCAGTCTTAACCTCACCATCAACTATTTGAGACACTTCTTCATTTGAGTGCAAGTTTTGGACATCATCATTCAAAATCTCAAATCTGATGCAATCTTTTGCCTCCATTATCAGAGATCTTTGTTTTCTACCATATGCATATGGTCTTTGAAAAGGTATGCCCTCTGGTAAGTTGTGGACCTTGAAGTTCCCTTTCTGGTATGGTACTTTGCTATTTTGCTTTCCTGTGGCCTCACCTAGAAAGGGATAAAATATTAATCAAACAATATAGCAACTGGAATAATATGCAATATCATGAATTATTTGTTCTTTGATTTGATGGACTTTTATTAATTTCTAGCTCGAGGAATTAAAATTGATATGATTGTTATCTCTAAAAATGCCTCACTACTCGATGAAAGTCATAATTGAGAATTTTGTTATCATGCAGTCTGTACATGTATAATTGCCTGTATAATTAAGCTTTTGGAATTTTACATTGTGGTATTACTTGCAATAGCTGGTGGATGAGAATCTAATTCAACTTTGTTATAATCATATTTTAAATATATGCACCTATCAATGTTAAACTAGCCAGAGGGAGGGGTATTTAATGACATAACCAAAAATATTTGGAACTGCATTCTCAGGTGACTATTTTTAGAACATGAAGTTTCCATGGGAAACTATTCGCACCAGCATATACTCTTGATTCCACTGCTCTATTGTTTATACAATATCTGTATTCTGTATACTGCATCTTGGTGAAAGACCATAAAGTTAAATTCCTGTGTTTATCCCCACCCCCTTTCCAATTCATAATTAGCAATTTCATATAAACGTTCAAAGAGAACTTACTATATTTTTGATTAAATAGATTTGAGATATCTTTAGGACTGTAAACCTTAATGTCACATGCTGAAAGAGAAAATAACTCAAAGATTAATATCACATGAAATAATTATATTCATGCCTGTTACAACAGACAGTGTTAATAAAAAAGTATGGTTTAAAAATGTGAGCTGGAGCTGACATTCCCTGAAGATTTCAAATGGCAATTAAAATATTTTAATCTCTGTAAAAATGTCTACCACACTGCTCTACTGACATGTAAAACTCAAGCACACTTAACAGAATTTATTTGTAGAATGGCGGCCTAAAAAATGCAGTGCTGCATCATATAATACAATTTTTTTGTTACATTATATAAACTGTAAAATTAATTATAGACTGTCCTATTTGTATTTTTTTTTATAATTTATCTTTGATATTACAAGGTTTAGATCTTGGTTCTCACAATAACTTAATGTTGCCATATCAATAGTTTGCTTTGACCACTTAATTGACTAGATATCCTGAACACTTTMGAGAAATATATAAAATCTGATGTCTGATGATGTAAAATGTTAATGAATTTATGATAATAACTGGTGTGAATACCTAAATATTGTCGAAACTTAAGCTGGATGTCAACATTTGAAGATAAAAACTGGAGTCCTTCCTCTGATCCCAATCCATCAATTTTACCATCAGCAGTATCAACAAGAAGTAACATTGAATGGCAGCCAAGGTTATTTAGTACTTCAAGCTGAAAAATAATAAATGAAAATATCTCTATTTCAAAAAGACTAGCAATACTTACTTATTTTCATATCACTCATGACTATTGCAATTACTTGTATTTATGTGTTGACTGTTGACTGCATTCATAGCTTATATAACATTCATGTTTTCACTAATTTATAATTATTATGAGATCATGATTTACCTGATCCATTATCTGCAACCTTGCTGTCCTTATAATCTTATGTCTTTGGCTATCCTCTATGGTATTAAGATCAATTTCCTTCATGTTTTTAGATTTTTTTTTATATTCTTCTCTTTCTTCTTCTGTCAGTGCCTTCCAAGCTCTACCAGCCAATGGGTTTCTTTCTGCCATGTCTTTGCCTTTACACTCATCTGTACAACAATGAATAGCAGTGCATGTTTTTAGTGTTTTTCCAAGGGGATTTCATTTAACTTATTTGAAACTTTCAAGAGCTCCCCTCCTCAATGCCTCGCATGCATACATTAACACCCCCCCCCCTCCCTCCCCCCTCGAAAGAGCCCAAAAGATAAATAATGATACATGTAACTCCCTTGAACATTCTAATGGATTAAGTTTTGGTAGGAAGACTGAGCT